TGAAATCCTCCATGCAATAATAATTGTCTTATCAATAATAAAGATGAAAAAGTGAGGCAATCTGTGATAACACGAATAATGAAAAACCGCATGATTAAACAAACAATTGTTCAAGTGAACATAGTAGTCGATAAAGGCTTAGAAAAACAAATTAATCGATTACGTAACGCTAGATTGTAAGGGAAGTAAATGAAACACGTTTATAATGAAGATAAGATTAGGGGTTATAAGAAAGTGGTTGGAAATATAGATACGGGGTGGTGTTGAAGTCTTTAGTTGGTTATGTCTTATTAGGCCAACAAGGGAGGTATAATGGCTGTACGAACTTCTTTTGAATGCATAGTTTAGGTTTAATAGTTCGAATGCCTATCGCCTCAGCTGTGTGCAGTAGACGAATACGAAGTCTATTAGAAAGATTCAGTGAGATACGAAGAATTACTTTGAAGGCTTTCGTTTTCTCGACTACATGACCACTATCAATTAAATGTGACAGAATTGAGCTACGGATTGTTTTTGTCTGTCCTTTGCCAAACCACCACGATGGGAGATGTTCACTAACACGTTGGCTGGCTAAACTATCTAGTAGTACACCCAACATAACTGTCACCGCAGGTGCAGTTGAGTTGATAAATGCACATAGATGTGGCAAAACTATCAAGCTTATCCTTCGTTTGCGTTCCAATCATTCGTCGGCTAGAGAATGACAAACATAGGTGTGCTGGGTAAAATGTTCTCCGTATACTCCTTGAAAGTCTTTGGAATAGAATCTCACCTGATAAGTCACCATTGAATTGTAAGTTAATAAATAGAGGTTTTTTCTCTGATGTTTTCATATGTTTCTTTATGAAACTACTCGGATAGCCCATCTCCGTCAAGGAATCGTGAATATATTCAAATTCCTTTTATAAGAGGTCACCCGTGCATATCACAGATTACCTCACATTTTCATCATTATTATTATTACTACTATTAATATTATCATTGCTAATATTATGACTAATTGCACAATTTATATTCAACATCGTATTATTCTATAGACCATACACCATGAGGATTGGTTTATATTTGAATTTTTATTTGTAAGCTTATGTAGGCATATTAGAGCTTATGAGATCTAATTGAAAGCACACTATCACTGTTCGCTTAAATGTGTTATTCTAATTTTTACTATGGGAATATTTAATATATTTTCTTTATGTGTTTATTTGATATATGTATAATACATTGTGGTATATTATGGTAACTGGATGATGGTGTTTTGAGCACAGTTGTGTTGCTCATATCAGTGAATTCACACCACCTGATAACCTGTCTTATATAGTCGTTGTACTCCTGATTGTCTCTCTCTCTCCACCTAACTATATTACTTTTTAATACTTTCATCTTACCTCAACCTATTGTCTGTGTGTGTGTGCGTTAGCAAGTGGTTGGGATGCGATGCAATAGTTCCGAGCTTTTTCCAGATTATTCGACTAACTAGGTTCGATCATTCTAGTATATGTGTAAAACTTGGGCACTGTGCGGTCGTGGTAGTAAGTAATTCCATATTAAGTGTTTGTTTGTAGGGATTTGATTGGTTACAGGATTTTATCATGAGCTGACATTGGTTAGAAAACCATTGGAAAACCTGGGGATACTGTTTCGTCAGCGTAGTTTGGGACACGCTGCGAAGTTTGAACCCAGGACCTTCTGGTTACAAGGCTAGCGAGCTCGTAGACCGTTGAGCCACTGGCACTCGATCCAATAGCCAGACCTTGAATTCTGACAATTCACGATATAGCGCAACCCCTAGCCAGTGTCTTCGGCGAGTATTTGTCCTCACACCCGACCTGCTGCACCCTACAGGTTATTATTATTTATTTACTAGATGTATCACACAGGGAAACAGTATTATTACATACAAACGCAATCTATTATTGGATCCTGTGGAGCCTTTAAAACAAAACAATTTAGTTTATCTGATACTCTGCCTTCAATGATTGTCAGGTCAAATACACAGGGCAGAGTAGTAGAAAAGGGTCAATCAGGCCAGCCGACCATAAAAACCTAGGAGCAAAATCTAGATTATTTTACCCCAACAAGATAGGTAATCTGGAGAATAGTTCAGCTATGCCACTCACTACATACAATTACACACAACCATATAATAGGATGGATGGGATAGGATGACAGTTTTAAAATCTATTGTAATAACTGGGTGGAAGGAGTGATTAATTACAATGGAAGCTTTGTTTATCGAATCAACTGAATGAAAATACATGCAATAAGGACGATTCAACACCTGTCCTCTAGGATATCTGGAAGATTCTACTAACCCTACGACGATACATAGGAGAGAACAAAGAAAAGAACTATAAAACTCAAGTTTCGAAGTCGTATGATTATAATTGGTGAAATGATTATGAACAGCAATAAACTGTGTTCGAAACTTTGTCATCCAGTATGTAATAATACTGTTTCACACTGTGTGTGATATATCTAATAAACAAACTAATATCGATCATTCTGGATCTAAATGAACATCTTGAGTAGGCAACAATTTTTGTATGTTTGAAATGTGATTCGCTCATGCTGTCAAATATAAGATAATGCTTCAGGACTGAACTATATTGATTTCTAGCTTAAAGATGGGAAGTGAACTGGTGACTCAGCATGTTGACTACTTCATTAACTATTTAGACAGTTGCATCACCTCTAAATATCTGATCGCTGACGAAATCTTACGACGGATACAGAAGGTCCGTTTGTCATTTGCTAACTCATGCCGTCTCTGGTTTATTAGACGTGATATCCAAGCCAGCAATTCAGTGGCTGCGTCTCCTTTTAACGGTAAAGTCGTTGATTACATTTCCGATTGGAGGATTCAATAATCTTGGTTTTATAATTTACTATTATTATTATTATTATTATTACTATTATATAATCTAATTGCTATGTGACAATGATTATTTTCCCCTCATTTTAGTTTCCAGAAGGATATTTCGTTTGTCGTTTTATGTAAGGAAGTTAAGATGATCTGATATCATTCCTTCTTTTGCTGTTACACTTTGTTAATTCTTGTATACTTACTTTGTTACCCCCGCCTTTATCTTTTCCAGGCTACTTAAGAAACACTATTTTCAAGTGATGGTTTATAGGGATTTGATTGGTTTCAGGATTTCATCATGAGCTGACATTAGTTAGAGAACCATTGGAAAACCTGGGAGTACTGTACAGCTGTTTCGTCTGAGTTTGGGACTCTTCAACAGTACGCTCCCATCGGGATTCGAACCCAGGACCTTCGGGTTACAAGGCGAACTCGTATACCGTTAAGCCAGTGGGTTCGAATCCCGGTGGGTGCGTACTGATGAAGAGTCCCAAACTAGGGCGAAACAGCTGTCCAGTACTCCCAGGTTTTCCAATGGTTCTCTAACTAATGTCAGCTCATGATGTAATCCTTAAACACTATTTTGTTATACTGTGTAGGACACTAATAAAAAGCTGTCATAAGGGCATATGTGGTGTTCCTAAACCATTGTAGATAGATGCATAGATAACCGCAAAAAAACTAGCAAATATTATCCTGTTGTACCTTAAGCATCCTCTTCGTACACAACTCTCTCCAGGTTTGCATTTCATCGGGTAGAACTAGCAGCACATATAGAAGACTGTATGTTCGGACGAGTATGTATAAAAAGCTCTACAATACTTTATTTGGCTCAGGAGACACATTTTATGTGATGAGAAAAGTGTGTAAGACAGGAAATTACCAACTTACTGCGGAACTCTAAGTGAACGGTTCTATTATTTTTCTTCTCATTGTTACACTGTTGTTAACATTGAATTGAATATTCATTTTCCTATTGAATAATATTATCAATGTAAAAATTACCCTGTTTTATTTACTACCCTTGTAATACGAAGGTTAGTTGCAAAACTGTACTGTACAACATGTTGAGGTTCTATATTTCATTGGTTGGCGGATTTTATCATCATGAGCTGACATCAGTTAAAGAACCATTGGAAAACCAACAACAGGGGGTACTGGGCAGCTGTTCCGTCAGCTTACTCTGGGCCTCTTCATCAGTACGCACCTACCGTAGGAGGTTCGAACCCAGGACTTTCCAGTTAATAGGCCAGCTATATCGTAGAGCATTAAACTCTTGGGACCCGATCCAATGACCAGTGTATGAATTCTAATTTCTGCTAATTCATGATATGGTCGCTATGTCATGAATTGGTAGAAGTTAGAATTCATACACTGGCCATTAGATGGTCTCCCATTGGCTTAATGATTGCTGGTCTTGTGACTTGAAGGTCCTGAGTTCGATCCTCCTGCGGTAAAGTGCGTACTGATGAAGTATCCTAAAGTAGGCTGACAAAACAACTATGCAATACCTCCTGTGGTTGGTTTCCTTATGGTCCTCTAACTGATGTTAGCTCATGATTTGAAATCTTCCAACCGATCAAACAAAATCAGTACTTGAAGATTTTATATTTGTGTGTGAAAAGTACTGTCTGGACTAAAGCTGTTGTTGTTATTATTATGTGACCAGTGTATACGTTCTAGCTATACACATTCACTATTTTTTTTATTCCTTCACGTTCCCACTGGAACATAGGGCGGGCTCCAAGCTAGAAGCTTGAAGTTTCTTAAGCAGTGGTGATTATTTTTTTTACAGGATTGGGTTGCTAGTCAGCCTCATGGTCAACCTTTCTCCTCTTCATTAACTTTTTTCCCTTATAAGTGGCTTAGCGAGGTAGGGGAGTGCATCTGCATTGCTGGGGATCGAACCCCGAACCACCTGTTTGGTTGGCGAGCGTCCTAACACATTCACTGTGCCACATTCACTCACTAATACCCAGACTAATATAAATACTTTTTTATATGGCAAAACTATAGAGACTTTGAATTAATTATTATTTATATTAGTAATTAATACAAATGATTATACGTTTTAGTTTTAAAAAGGCATTATGCTATTGTATCTATTTTTTTCTTCTGGTTTTCCTTATTTTAGTGAATGTGATCCAAGTGGTGATGAGTTGACGCGTTGTTCATCAAGTGCTACAACAACAACAACAACCACTGCTTGTCTTAAAAAGACTGTACCTGAATCCAAACTGTCATCACTGTCGAACAACTGTCAAAGTTTGCATACAACTCACACTATTGTTCCTATGCATACATGTAAATCTTTAAAATATGATGATAATGATCGGATTATTATTGAAGTATCCAGGAATAGTAGTAGTAGTAGTAGTGGCGGCGGCGGTAATATATGTCCACATATGAATTCACCGGATTCCTCCTCCTCCTCGTCATCTTCATCATTATCATCGTCTACAACACGTGGTGGTGGTGGTGGTGGTAGAACATTGATATTCAATTCTAGTCCTCCTACATCAACCTCATCATCATCGTCGTTATTATCATCTCATATGCTACCACCACATCATCATCATGTTCATTTTACGCATCATCATCATCATCATCCTACGGTGGCAGTTGCTGGTGGTGGTGGGGCTTCCTCTTCGTCTTCTGGTCATCAAATACATGATGAGATACCAGTCATCAATAATAATAGTAATAGTAGTGCATTGCCTCTTCATCATCAACACTTACATCATCATCACCATCATTATGTTCGACATCATTCTGCATCATCTAATACTGATGATGATGAGGATGAAGATGACGATCCAACAATTCATTCACATGATACTACTAATAAAAATAATTCATCTCAGCCTGTTCTTATTCCCCATCATCATTTACATTATCAAAATTCTATGATGGAAAAATCTACTGCTACTATCATAAATCATCAAAGTCAGGTAAGAATTTCTCACATTGTGATTGATTCGTTATTTTTGCCGCCCCCCCCTCCACTGACTAGCATAATTTTTTTTCTATATTCTGCCTGAGATGCTCGCTTGCGCCTTCTTTCTATCTCCTGTGTGTGTGTGTGTTATTGAGGTTAGGCGTAAATTTCTAAATGAGGATGGTAAGTTGAATCAGTTAGATAGTGATTACGATGGATAGAATATGTGTATGATGGTGTATGCTGAACCGAGCCGAGCCGAATGTCGAGTCGAGTTATCGTCTTCTTCGTTGAATAATGAATGTTAGCCGACATAGGAGATTAGATCAAAATATGGCATACATCAGTCGTCCATGGAGTATTTGACAGTTAGTTAGTTTAAGCTAACGACTTATGGGGGGAGGGAGATGTAGGCTGTCTCGTTGAAGAGAGGCAGTCAGTGGGGATGCTAAGAACTAATGACTTGTGACTGTTGGTGATTATACTTCATAGTCGGTACCGTTTTAGAGGTATTCACTGACTTTTTTTGTCATCTCCTAGATCCATTGTATAAATGAAGCTGGTCCGCGCTCGGGTGTGCTTACGACTGAACGGACGTAGGAAACAGCTGGCGGTAAAACCATCACGTCCCCAGCTCGATCAGGAAACTAAATCCGTATTTCAGGAAGAACTAGCTAAACACATATCTGTGTTCGACAGCTGTGCTCACCCTGAAGAAGCTTGGAAAAATATCCAGGCAGCCATAGATACAGCTGTAAAAGCTGTGAATAAGGTAAACCCAAAGGTGAGTAAAAACCACTGGATCTCCACCGCCTCATCCGAACTGATAGATGCTAGAAGACTTATTCCGGCGAGCTCCGAATTCAATGAGGAGCGAAAGCTGCACAAGAGGAAACTTACGAAAAGTCTCCGCAAGGACCGTGAACAGTGGTGGGCGACAAAAGCCAAAGAGATGGAGAAAGCTTTGAGGATAGGCAACACCAGGCAACTCTTTACACTCATCAGGGAAACGGGTGGGAGAAGACAAATCATTAGTGAGACAATCTCGGAAAAAAATGGCACTATAATTAGCTCCAGGATAGACGACTGGATCGTTGGAAAGAGCATTATGAGGAGCAGTTTAATTTGCCCACAGCCACGCTCAACCTTCCGAGCATCCAACACCTCCCTGAATGGGATATAGACACAGGTCCTCCGTCACTAACTGAGGTTACTAAAGCTGTCACCAATCTGAAACTAGGCAAAGCAGCGGGACCTGATGGAATGACGCCAGAGGTATTTAAGTACGGTGGAGACAGCTTACTGTCCGGATTAACTGAGGTACTAGGCAGCGTCTGGGAATCAGAAGAAGTCCCATCGGGTTGGTGTAAGTCACTGATTATCCCCATATACAAGAAGGGAGACAAGTCTTCCTGTGATAATCACAGAGGGATTAGCTTGACTAATATAGTATCTAAAGTCTTAGGCTCAATAATCATGCGTAGACTGAGTGGTGCTCGGGAAGCACAAACACGAGAGAGCCAGGCAGGCTTTAGACCAGGAAGAGGGTGTATTGATCATATCTTCACCCTCCGACAGATTCTAGAACATAGGCATTCCTACCGGCGTCCAACAGTCATTATATTTCTTGACCTAAAGGCAGCATTCGACTCTGTCGATCGGGAAGTTCTCTGGAGATGCTTGGCTGTAAAGGGAATTCCAAGAAAATATATTGCACTGATTAAGGCACTCTACTCGTACTCATACAGCCAGGTGAGGGCTTACGGCGAGCTGTCATCTGAACTGATGACGACCAGTGGTGTCCGTCAAGGATGCCCATTATCTCCTTTTCTATTCAACTTCATCATAGATGTGTTAATGGACTTAACCCTAGGTGACTTCAGCGACTCAGGGATTGACTTGCTACCGGGAATAATCTCGTTGACTTGGAATATGCAGACGATATAGTCCTTCTAGGCGAAGACGCTGACGAAATGCAGAGTCTTCTAAACACCTTGAGCCGCAATCTACGAATGTTTGGCATGCGATTCGCTCCCGCCAAATGCAAGATGATGTTACAGGACTGGACTACATCGACGCCTAGTTTAAAAATAGGAAGTGAAGTGGTAGAGCACGTTGACCGCTTCACTTATTTGGGAAGTACCATCAGCCCCAACGGGCTGATCTCTGACGAAATCTCAGCACGAATACAAGGGGCTCGTTTCGCATTTGTTAGTTTACGCCGACTCTGGCGTAGACGAGATGTTCGACTATCGACCAAAGGGCGGGTGTACTGCTCATCAGTCCGCTCCGTCCTCCTTTATGGTTGTGAGACCTGGCCACTGAGAGTGGAAGACATGAAAAGACTAGCTGTCTTTGATCATAGGTGCCTGCGTTCTATTTCCCGTGTAAAGTGGCATAATAAGGTGAGCAACATGGAGGTTAGGCGTAGAGTTCTAGGTAAACAGGGGAAATCAATCGACGAAGTCGTGAAGCTACAAAGACTGAGATGGTTAGGACATGTGTTACGTATGCCAAGCCATCGCCTCCCTCGACGAGCAATGTTAGCGGATATAGGGTCAGGCTGGAAAAAAGCTAGCGGCGGTCAAACAAAAACTTGGCATCAGTCAATGAAATCCACAACAGTTGGTCTAAGCCACGTAGAAAGGTGTAGACTTCCAGGCTGGGGTCCTCGGGACGGTAAAAATCTATGGTTGGAAACAATTGGTGACATGGCTCAAAACCGTTCTCAGTGGCGCAGATGCATCCACTCCTGTGACTTATGATCTTCAATGAAACTGTTTTGTATTTCTTTATTACTCCTTTGTCTCACACCTCTGCTCACTGTTTCTATTATGCTTTTCTTGTACTTTCTTCTCTTGCTTCGCGTGCTACACGGAATGTGGCGACTTGAACTTCCGCACATTTGTGCAAAGTTCTATGTCGAAAACAGACGGACAGACAGACAGACAGAAGCAAAAAATAAAAGACAAATTTAGTGAAGAAAATGCTTCTTTATCGACGAAATCATCTTCACAGACTGTACTGTACAGTTCTATTTATACTTATCAAAATTATATAGAGGTCTATTATTCAGTAATAGGGTGAGGGTGGGTGACATAATCGATATAATTACTCGGAAGTGGCTTTAGAGGTAAAAAGCAAACTAAAAGTTGTAAATTACGTGGTACTCAACAGCACAAAGATAGAAATTTGATAAGGTTAAAATTGCCATTGAGTGAGAATAAAGGTGGTAGTTTAGTGTCAATTTAACAAGTATGAAGAGGGTGTAAAAATGTACAACAGGGAACATATGAGAGTGAAGAGGTTAAGACCAAGGTAGAATAAGAGACTGAACAAACTTTTTCTGTATACAGAGTTGGGGGTTGTATTGACGAATTTCCAGCGCCTCCACCCTACAAAAAAGCCGAAACCTGACGACCTTTGTACCGTTTATCCTCAGCTTGTAGATGATGTTGAAAGACGACTCTGGTGGAGCTGTGTGGCCTCAGTTGTTCACCAAGTTCTCGAGAATTGAACTAGTATTTGCCTTGCATCGTCCTTTTGCTAACCATGCTGGATAATGTTCGGGGATGCGTTTGGAAAGTGTGTGGCCAATGTAACTAGCTCAGTTATGTCACCCGCTATTACTCAATAATAGACCACTAAAGATTTTTGGTAAGTATAAATACGACTGTACAGTACAGCCTGCGAAGATGATTCCGTCGATAAAGAAGCTTTTTCTTCGCTGAATTTGTCTCTTCTTCATGATTTAATGGGTATTTTCGGTGATATGCATAAACACTTAGCGCGTTTTTATTATTATTATTATTATCCTTGATGAACCTGCCACAAAAGTCTATAGGATGTTGTTACGTACTCGTTGAGTAGTCAATAGTCCTGACGCGGAAAGGCGGAAAATCAGAAGACCACTAGGTTTACGATAATACTTGTATTTTCCAGACAAGGAAAATAATTGTCACACAAAAGTGTGAGTGAAAGGGTACTTAGATGTACGAAAAAAAGTGTGTGTGCAAGAATATAGTACAAAAGTATATATGAAAATGACTAATACACATGAACCAATAATTAGCCAGTCTTAACATGATTGGTTGTAATGTCATGTGACAACAAGGTCGTACGTTGTTTATTTAGTTAGGGGACAGACAAAAGCATAATGTCAGTTATAATGGAATATCGATCCATATACACAGTAAAATATAACAGACTGTCAAAAACAAAACACACATCATGTGGATGCATATCAGATGTATAAAGCTTAATCATTTTTTTTCTTTCTTTCTTTCTTTTCAAAATAACTAATTATAGGCACAAAGAAAGAATAATGTTGTCATAGATGATGATGGTACTGGATGGGACAGTACTACTACTAATACTATCAATAACAAAAAAGATTCATTGACTTGTCAATCAATTGTTAATAATCCTCCTGCTCCTCCTCTTGCTCAGTGTCCAGGACACTTAGATCCAAATCATCATCACCACCATCACCATCATCATCATTCTCATCCGCTTATTCATCATACCAGCCAACATTCACATAATCTTTATCATCCATATTGTCGGCATAATGATAAATCAACCCTTACAGAATTTGTTGCACCTACATCATTGTCAACAACAACAACATCAGCCTCGTTATCCCCATCGTCTGTAAAGTCTGGATCACCTGTTGTACTAAAAACCAATATCATACAATGTCAGTCAGAACTATCACCAAGTATAGATGTCAACAATATGACAATGAGTGAGGGTGGGGTTGGTGGTGGTGGTATCTCGTCGTCGTCTAGTAACAATTCAACACTGTTGAGAATGAATAGTAATAATAGCAGTAGTAGCAGTGGTGTTGGTGAATCTGTTGGTACACGTGGTGAGTCGACTATTGAATCATCAATTTCTGACAAGAAGTATCATTCATTTGATAAATATCATTACGATAATGATAATGATTGTAATAATAATAGTAGTAATAATAATCATACTACTACTACTAATAATAATAATGCCAATACAAATTTAATTGTCGGTGAATCCAGCTCTTATTCGTTTGGATTATCTCAAATTAATGCAAATAATAATAATAATAATCCTTGCCGAGAGAATGTTATTATTCATAGTGAGTTTTTGTTTTAATTGTTAAGATGTTTACTTAATCCTGTAACTGGAAGTGTGTTTTTCTCTGTATCTTCAGTGACTATTTTTGTTTGTCTACTTTTTAAGTTCCTAATAGAATAGAGACCTTCAGGCTTATTTTAGACTTTTTTGATATGTTAGTAGCAGTGGATGTTGTTCGACTGACGCCCTAACCTTCTCTCTTTACACACCAGACTTACTATCAAACAACAGACAACAATCAGCATAAATGGAACCTACCTTCCTAGGAAGCATTGTTTCAACTACAGGCGGACGGAACTGACGAGTATATCAAAGTAGTGAGGATCGGGAAAGCAAGACAAGCTTTCATTACTCTCAAGTCTGTGTGGAGGTCAACAGAACTCCCCATCATCAAAAATAAGACCCGGATTTTCAACTCTAATGTGAAGTCAGTCAGTGCTACTCACTATACGGATCAGAGACTTGGCCAGCGCGTCACAAAGAGCACCTTAAACAAACTACCGACATTCATCAACAGCTAGGTGTCTTCGCTCACTACTACTCAAGATCAGATCGCCAGTCAGAAAAGATCACCTATAGTCAGGGATCTCTGGCAATGAGCGAACCAACCCAGCAGGAACCGATTGTGAAACAAATATGCAGGAAGAAATGCAGGTCGATTGGCTGGACATACTCTGAGAAAACAAACCATAAAGTGACATCACTAGACAAGCCATCGCTCAAGTGGACCTGAAAGGGAAGCGGGAAGCTGGTCGTCCAAGGGTGACATGGAGGAGGCGGTGATGTGAAGAGGAGATGAAGGCATATGGGAAGACTTGGAGCCAGGTGAAAACTCAAGCAGAGAACAGAACGCAATGGAGACGTGGGGCTGAAGCCCTACGTTCTTCTAGGAACTAAAGGAAACAATAATTATACTATCAACCAGTAAGTTGTTGGAGGTGTAGGAAGTGTGCATCAGCCAGCGGGGAATGTGGAAACCAAGTTGGCGAGCGATTCTACCGTTGAACCCCCCAATGGAGGCACAATGACTATACAATAAAGGCTTCATATTTTTATCTTTGATGATGACAAAAGAAATTTTCTCCTAATTCATTCAGACACAAAATGATTTACAAAAGAATGGATACTGAACAAAGAATACTCTTTTCCATAACTTCTTCATCATCAGACTCTACACTTATGTATACATTATATTGAATGAGTGAATGAATTAGTGTTATGAACAACATTAATGTTGCTTTTTAAATAACATCGAATCAGTAATATCGGTAGATTACAGCTCACTAGTATCAATATAACACTACACATTGAATATCAGAAAATATAGGAAAGATAATAATAATACAAATTCACAAATTTATAGTCTCTACTGCGGGCAGGCCAGGGCAGTAGTAGTAGTGGCTAGCTGGACTTGTTTCTTTTGAACACAGAGTACTGGTTGTTTGAGGCGAATTACAATAGCCTCTTCTGTTTAGAGCATGCTGTGCTTCGATTACTTTGGGAATTTATTAGGCACTCAGTAGATGATAGAGAAGGACTCTTCAACGCTGGCTTTGTGACCGGTTTGCACCAGATGGTCTAACATCGAACAGTTAATGGTTTTCACTACACCTTTACTTAGCCATACAGGGAAATGTTCCCCAGCAAGCACGAAAAATCAAGTTCTTACAGCGACGGTCAATATAACTCGCTCCACCACAAGGCAGTTGAATTGGTAGATGTGATTTGACGTGGGTAGTCTAGGCACTTCACATTTCAGTCGAGGTAGCACCATCGGTTGTGTTGAGAATAAGACATGTTCACCAGCATTGAAAGTTCTTTGAACTGATTTTCTCAACTTCTTCGTAATTATTTCACTTGGTATATCGCCTTTAACGTGAGAAACACATAGGTGTTAGCCGATGGACGTGAATACATCTTGAATGTTCGAGGCTATGAACTAAGCAGATTCACATCGTATGACGACTGATGATGAGACCATTATTCAGACGCTTAGGTTGAATAAGATGAAACAGGACTCGAACCTAAGATCCATCATCGATTGAAAGTTGTGTAATTAAAGTCAATTAGCTATGTCTCTAGTATTTGCTGGTTATACATTCTGTTAGTGGTAAAGGGCACTTTATCGTATGATGGAAGGAAAATAAACTTCATTAAATTATGAAGCAACACAGTTGAATAATGGATTTGTTTCACAACCTGTTAGGCTCTTCAATTTATTCATGCGCCGGATTATGAGGAGCACACACACACACACGAGGTTGAAGTAGAATGAAGCTAATTGTCTGTTGTTGTTTGGTCTTCGACGATTCTCCTCTAATTCCTTGAAATTATCTTTTAATCGGGTGAATTATGTTGTTGAATATATTGATTCAACTTGTTAAAAAAATATTTTTGATTCGTTATAATATACTGTTTGAAAACATGCGCATATCATTATAAGGTGTACTAGAATTACGTAATAGTAGTTCTAAGTAGCACATCTGTCCTCACCAAATGTGAACGAATTGTATCAGTAGAAAAAATGGAAACAATGCAATCGGAAGTTATCGCATATCATAGCACGAAAATTGTGATGAAATATTACAATAAAATATGGGAATAGACTTCAGACTAATTGGCAACTAACAATATTATTGATTGATTGATTGCTACTGTGTCTTGGTTTCGAACACGTCCCTAACTTTCCCTCGTATCTGTCCCTTATTCCAATTGCTCCTTGAATATAAATAAGATAGAGCTGTGGTTCGCATAGGCCTAAACTAGGCACCCCAAACATCATCCTTCTCCACTTGACAAGATTTAGTCAGTTAGGTAGTTATCACTTACCGTTAGACAGTAGTCGTGCTTCATTGTCAACTGCAAGTGGTTGTTGTTGTTGTGTAATATACCTTCTTCCTGTTTCGATTGCTATCTGCAGGAGTGCTGGGGGGGGGTGAAGTGATGGCAGAACTTTACAGTCTCATCAGTTTTAACTATCTGTATTTTGATGTGGAGCTGGATAGTTAATTTGTGAAGCTTTCATCGCCTCACCAATAGGCGACATCTTCAGCACGCATACTTCAATTTTAATTGAAGTGAGCTTTTAGATTTCTCCACGATTTTATTATTCATCTCTCCTGGTGACCTTGGAAGTGGTTGGTTGTTTTTGTGTGTTTTCACACCTTCTAGGCTACTTGTGGTATGGGAACTGATTATTTCTTTAACTTTAACTTTGACCCTTTGTGTGTGAGGTTTCTTTCTTATCGGTTCATAACTTTTATCTATCTCCAACCAACATAAAAACATAAAACCAACATCATCATCTAAAAATATATTATAACAACTGCGAAAAACACTACATTGGCCAAAGTGGGCGTCGCCTTTTTCTACGTATCCTTGATCATTAACTAGTCATCAAAAGACACGATATCCACTCCCTAGCTCATATCGCTGCATACAGACAATCACTGACATCAGTTCTACTGTTACAACGTTCAAATATTAGACAGAGAAAACACCAAGAATGCTAGAGAATATTTAGAAGCCCTCCTGGTATTCCAGTGAATCATGAATCAATAGACACATCGAGATAGAAAAAATTTATCAACCGATAAAAAAGAAACCTCATACACAAAGAGTCAAAGTTCAAGTCAAAGATACAATCAGTTCCCATACCACAAGTAGCCTAGAAGGTGTGAAAACACACAAAAACAACCAATCACGTTCAAGGTCACCCCTCCCACCAGGAGAGATGATTAATAAACTCGTGGAGGAATCAAAAAGCTCACTTCAATTAAAATTGAAGTATGCGTGCTGAAGATGTCGCCTAGTGGTGGGGCGATGAAAGCTTCACAAATTAACTATCCAGCTAGTTCAGAGAATACAACCATATCAAAATCATCCACCTGAGCTACAAATCTTCACTATCATATCTAACTATCTGCATACTTATAATCATCCATTCACTATATGGAATGCCATAATAATAATAATAATAATGGTATCAAGTTGATAGCTCAGAGTATAAAATATCCAATTGATATTTCTATTATTTAGCACAATTGTGCTGTTTTATTGATTCATATAGTCACTGGGGTGTGTTGTTGTAGTAGTAGCAAATCCTTCTTTCTAATGTTTATAGTCAATTGTTTTACTAATCTTTATCCTGTGGTGGTCAGTGACTAATAAATAATGCATTCGACGGTGAATGTGTGTGCGTGCGTGCGTCTGTGTCTGTACGGATTTGTCTGCTTTCCTCTTTACGTATTTCCGCATACCTTAAGTGTGTGCGTGTGTGATGATGATGGTGGTGGTCATTAGAGAAGATAAAACTAAAAGGCCTAAAAATGTGTCAGGAAATCAGGAGTTTTCCTATATATTCAACAGACTTGATAACAGACTGTAATAACCGCATAAATGATTAATTAATTAATTATAATTGCTCTTCGACATAAGACCTTTGTTTACACAGTTACGGTTTCATATTTGCGCATATATATATATATATATATATATATATATATTCCCTTTAATGAATTTGAATAAATCAAGAACAACAGTGTGGTTTGTGGAGAATAATATGGTACCATCATTGCTTATTTCGTTAGCTTCTCGTCAGCTGCTTACAGCTTGTTGTTAATTGACAGAAAGTGCTACTATTAGTAAACAGTGCTCAGAAAACTGCGCTTATACAGTTTTTACACAAGTAGTTCAAGTTTAAACAAAAAAATAAATGTATGCAATACGGTGGTAAAGGAGTTACGTAATAAAGACGAGGCATGCGTTAGATGCAGAGTGACTAATAAATTAGGTAATCTCGATACGGGTCATGAGGTGTAAATCGAGAAATCAATAGACAAAGGAGCTCGAATCTGCTCCTGAAGTTTGCCGAAGCAATTTCTACCAAACGCTTGAAACCAGATGTATGTGTTCAGAAAGAAGCAGTTATTAGTCTTTCCTTGGCCATCCTGGTAACTGTATGTCTTTATTCTCTCATCCAATTACGTAATCCGTGTCTTTAACCTCACCCACTTTTATAATCTTGTCTCTTGTTTCAATGATTTCAGATGAACTCCGTACACTGTTACCTAATTTATTAGTCACTCTGCATCTAACGCATGCCTCGTCTTTATTACGTAACTCCTTTACCACCGTATGCATAGATTTATTTTTTTGTTTAAACTTGAACTGCCTGTGTAAAAACTACATAAGCACGATTTCCTGAGAACTGTTCACTAATTGTGAAACTTTCTGTCAACTGACAACAACATGTAAAATTTGCAAGTATGTTAAAACTTTTCTGTACGTAAACGTCATAATTTATTTAGGCTGCAAGCAGCTGATGAGAAGCCAAGAAAATAAGCAATGATGCTACCATATTGTTCTGCACAAACCACACTGTTGTTCTTGCTTTATTCAAATTCATCAAGGGGAATATATATATATATATATATGTATATATCAAAACAAGATTTTGAGCGTACAATTGTTTTCGATAACTTATTCTTCAGGCTCTACAGTTGTAAATCCATGAATAATGGAGTACATATAGCCAATAAAGGCAAATGAAAATCATATCAAAAACTGTATTGGGGTGCATGTGTAAGGTGAGATGATAGTCCATTAGTTAACATAGTCGATCAAATTTGTATAGGGTGTATTGTCAGAAAAATGTGATGAAGTGTGAATGAACAATTGGGTGGTATATAGGGTTGTTTTATAGTCAACAGGATACAAGTGTCATTGGGGTGAGATAAATGCGATAACCACAAAATACATACAAACGCACATTAAGAAAGGAGGCACTGAATGTGAGGACTGACCGATAATGTCTAATGATAAAATAAAGAGGCTAAATTGTAATAAGATGTTACAGAATTGGTAGGCTTAGTATAAATTCATAAATTAATATCAGTAAAAAGTTTGAGCATTGTGGATTAGATCAAATAAAGTATAATTATACTTTAATAGTTTACTTACAATGATAAGTTTTGTTATTGGTAATATTTCGAGCAAAATTACCAATAACAAAACTTATCATTGTGTGTAAACTATTAAAATATAATTATACTTCATAAAATCATAAAGGTTAACAAAAATTAAGGGTAACAATGAGGTGATATAAACTGGGTGGAGAAATGGATAATAAAGACATGATATCACAAAATAATAATAATAATAATAATAGAACGAAAAATTATGATCCTGGTGACCTTATAGTGGGCCAGGGTAGACAGAGAGAGCGAATAAGTTTCTTCTGTACACATAGGTCTAGTCTCTCTATTAATCTCTAAAGCTTCAGCTATGGCTAGGAGGCGTAATCGTGTGCCTTTGGGGAGATTGTTCGGTACTCGATACACAACTGTAAATGACTCATCTACTTTGATGCTGTGTTCGCTATCCACTAGATAAGACAGAATTGTACTACTTAATGATTTGATTGCTGTTTTCCCAAGCCAAACAGGAATATGTTCACGAGTGCGTAAAGATAAATTCCTTTGGGTACGACCTATATAACTAACTCCACAGAAGGAGTTGAATTAATATACACACATTGATGTTGCCATTTTGGGTAATCTATCTTTAATATATATATATATATATATATATAACACTGAAACATTCCTCTCTCTCTTTCTGTCTGTCTTTAATTGCAGAAAATCCCACATTGGAAAGTTTACATGGCTCATCGTCAAGTGACACCATGAATCGTGGGGGAGATGGTGGTGGTTTACACCAAAGACCGCTTAATAAAGATCAATATGATAGACGGTAAGTTGTATGTCTATTGAAGAAGAGAAAGATAGACAAAGAGCTCTGGTGTAGGTTCAGTACTTTCATACACGTATTTTTGTTTTTATTTTAACTTAAGAACGATTGTGTTTATTGCTGACTCATTAACTGGCTGAGGTCCTCAGGACGGTGGAAACCAGTGGCCACTGGAGACAATCGGTGATATGGCTCAAAATCGTTTTCAATAGCTGGCGCAGATGCATCCACACTCCTTGTGACTTATAATATCCAATGAAACTATATTGTTCTTCGTTATTACTGTTCCTTTGTCTCGTACCCTGTCTGTATTTCGAATTTCTTCTACTTTCTTCTCTTGTTCTGTGTGCGCTACAAGGGGGTAGTGTGGCGACTTGAACTTTGCATATCGGTGGAAAGTTCTATGTCAAAAGCAGACAGATAGAATGATTAACTCATCTTCATGTAGTGGTGATCTTTTCATGGCTTTGAATCATATATCACGTGGAAATTTGGTATCGAATACCAAAGTGGGGGCACAGGATATGTTTTATCCCATCTTAAACCTTTCAGTTGGGTATACCTATACCCCCCAAGAAGTGATAATATCCCACTGGTGGTGGTGGTGGTTAGGTAAAAGTAGAAGGGCAAGTCAATCGTTGAGGTGTTGTATCGATTGCATCGATTTGAGAGATAGTTAGAACACGTGTTACGCGCTTGTTAAGGCGTCATTTGTCCCACATTGAGCAATGTCAGTTTTGCAAAAGACGTTGTTGAGTTGAATAGGGATGCTCTGAACTGGTGACCGGGACAGACAGTAATCACAAATATTCAAGTCCTGGTTTGTAGGGATTTAATTGATTGTATACAGGATTTCATCATGAGCTGACATTGGTTAGAGAACCATTGAAAAACCTGAAAGTGCTGGACAGTTGTTTCGTCAACCCTAGTTTGGGACTATTCATCAGTACGCACCCACTGGGGTTTGAACCCAGGATCAGCAGGGTGCAACAGGTCGGGTGTGAGGACAAGTAAATACTCGCCGAAGACATTGGCTAGGGGTCGCGCTATGTTGTGAATTGGCAGAAGTTAGAATTCATGGGCCATTGGATCGGGTCCCAGTGGTTTAGTGGCATACGAGCTCGGTAGCCTTGTAACCAGAAGGTCCCGAGTTCGAACCCTGATGGTGGGTGCGCACTGATGAAGAGTCCCAAAATAGGCTGACGAAACAGCTGTCCAGAACTCCCTGCAGGTTTTCCAATGGTTCTCTAACCAAATGTCAGCTCATCGTGATGAAATCCTGTAATCACAAACATTGCTTTTCTATCCCAACACAACGTATCCTATCCAACAGCAGTTACCTGATCGATCTCCCAGCTTGCTACTTAAGTGTGGAACACACAAGAGGTGAGACAGAAAAGTGTATTTACTAAAGGGAATATTGACATATAATACATATATGGAACAAAGAAACACATGTATATATATATATATATATATATATATATATACGTCAAAGAACATAATTCATCGGGAATACCCTTTACATGGCTAATGGAGTAGGCGCGAACAGGGCTCAACCCAATGATTGTTTGTGTGGCTGTTTAAGAGACAACTGATTGACAACCTATGCATTCACATATCAAGTCGACAGACTATTGGATTGGAAATGGGTTATGACTAGTAGTCAAACAAATGAATAGCGTCAATAATAAATGAAATGTTTTTGATAGTTAATTTGAGCTGCCTACAGAAAGGGAGGTGTAAACTAAACTGTCTATGACTAAGACTTTTGAAACGCTAATGACACTGTAATCTAGTAACATAAAATGTAACTTTTGCAGAGGTATTCAAGAGCATGGAGTAGTAGTATATGGGTTCGTTAGCTCGTCACTTTACAATCTTCCCATTTTTCTTGAGCTTAATCCTGGCAAGAAAACTAGCGAAGTAGTAAACTAGGCGAGGGTTTTGCCTTCTCTCTGGCTCCATACTGAATATCATATGGCAAGCGAGATGAAGAAACTCGGGAGTGACGAGTTAGCCGTTGGTGCAAGGATGACACCAGAGTAGATCATATGAAAGAGGAGATGAGAAATTTATGATCACAGTTGTGCTCTAGAATCCTTATAATATTCCATCTGGAACACGAAAGGACAATAATAATAATACATGTGCAGTTATAGTTTTTCGGTTAGTCTCTGTTTAATTGTTCATAAATCTTTTTAATGCTCATTGGTGTTTCAATTGGTATACTTTAGTTTTACTGACTATTTACTCTACAGTTAACAGTTTTAAAGAATCGCCTTACTTACCATCTGCTTTCACAAATTCCGTAACTCCTTTTATAATTTATCGTGTACTTTCTTGTGTAATCTGGACAGCTATAAACGTGGTTTGTGTGTCGATATTCCATTATCCGTAAGATTACCTTTGCTTTTGAAATAATAGAGATTTGTAGCTCAGGTGGATGATTTGCAATGAATAGTGTTCTCTGAGCTGGTTGGTTTATAGTTGCGGAGCTTTCATCGTCCTTCTAGACAACATCCCCCCCCCCCTTCAACGCAATATTTAGCATTAAAGTGAAATCATTGAAATTTTTTCCATGAGTGATATAATTGCGTCTCCCGGTAACCATCTGTACATATGTATTGATCATTTTCTATTGACTTGGATTTTAAAACACACTGTTGCACTTCAAAGTTGAAAAGAATGGTAGAAAAATACCTACTGACTGTTTTCAAAAAGAAAGGATATCCACAAAATTTCATCAAAAAGCGTCTAAAATCGAATCACAGCATCAACAAAGAACCATCATCAAAAACCACAAAAAAATTCATCGTACCGTACATGAGAAATATCTCTGAAATAACAGCTAGAATATTGAAACCGTTTGATGTAGATATAGCACACAAGCCAGTCAACAAAATCACTTCATTCATGGATATTGTGCAAACCGAAAGATCCAAAGAAAAAGGAGATCAAATTAATACCATTTACAAAATAAATTGCATGTATGAACTGTAACAAGCATTACATCGGCCAAAGTGGATGGCGCCTTCGAATCAGAATCCAAGACCACAAACCAGCCGTGAAAAGACATGATATATATTCTTTCATATCAATGCACATAAACAATTACGGACATCAATTTGACTGGGATAATGTCAAAATCTTAGAAAGAGGAAGCACCAAAAGTGCAGTTCGGGGAATTCCTAGAAGCTCTGGTGATCAAACGAAAATGCAATTAATTAACACGTTAATATAAACCAAATCTACCAACTAATAAAAAGTAAATCATGTGACCAGAAATTTTAAAATCCAAGTCAATAGAAAATGATCAATACATATGTACAGATGGTTACCGGGAGACGCAATTATATCACTCATGGAAAAAATTTCAATGATTTCACTTTAATGCTAAATATTGCGTTGAAGGGGGGGGATGTTGTCTAGAAGGACGATGAAAGCTCCGCAACTATAGACCAACCAGCTCAGAGAACACTATTCATTGCAAACTTTCGCTTTTATAGATGATAGAAGGCCTATCTATCATCAATCATACTGACGTTTCCCGTGGGTGTCATTCTTCCTTGAAGAAGAAAATGTCTTCCTGATAGAAATCAAGAAGAAGTCTCATTAGCGATGTAGCACAATCGCCTCCCTCTCACGTCCCTCTTTTCATCTGTTAAAACTATTGGGCTACAAATGACGACTGTAAGATAAGAAAGGTAATAATGAAATGCGTTATTGTTATTAGTATTGTTACTATTATTCTTATTCTTATAACGCTGAATTCATCTTAGTATTATATCAAGTATGTGTTTTACCTTTTTACAGTGAGTCAGATGATAAGTAAGTCTAATGGTATAATCACAAATGATGATAATAGTTAAGCTAACGCATAGATAGGTTCCTCTCATGCCGACTAACTTTAATTCAATAGTAATAATAGTAATAACAATAATAATAATAAACTTCTACTCATGAATTTATTACTTTTTAGCATTTTGGTATTTCAGTGTGTTTTCTAACATTGTGGAATGCATGATTGACGGATAAAATATTTATGGTTTTGTGATGCCTATTATTATTAACATTATTATTACAACTCATCGATCCAGGTTACCATGTCTCCGAACAACCTTTACCTATATATATATATATAACCTATCTCTACAGGCACGTACATACATACATACAGAAAATGACGGTGAAAAATATCGATAGAAGGCATTAAGGTGATATTCTCCTTTCATAGCTTATAGGAAGGTAAACAGACAATATGCGTTGATGATTTAAAGAGGGGGGGGGGTGTGGAACGTTCGACTCTCGGCTGACACACACACACACACAGTGACATTTTAACCTTGCCTAACCGATAGTTATGCCTTGAAGGTTGTTTGCCTTGCGATTCGCTCCTCTTGTCAAATATAGGATGGTGATGCAGGACTGGACTACACTAACTCACTCCTAGCTTAGAAACAGAGAGTGAAGTGGTGACTGAGCGTGTTGACCACTTCACTTATTTGGGAGGTTGCATCAGCCTATGCCAACGGGTTGATTGCTAGCGAAATCTCAGCACAGATACAGAAGGGTCGTTTCGTATATGCCAACTTAAGCAGCCTCTGGCTTAGTAGACGTGATATCCGACTGGTTACCGACCAAAAAGGCGTGTGTACTGCTCAGCGCAGGAGTTCGCTCTGTCCTCCTTTATGGCTGGCTGTGAGACTTGGTCATTGAGAGTGGAAGACATGAAAAGACTAATTGTCTAGCTGTCTTTGATCGTAGGTGCCTGTGTTCTATCTCCCGTGTTAGGTGGTAGGTGTAATAGGGTGAGCAACATTGAGGTGGTTAGGCTTCAGTCGAGTGCCAGGTGGGTGGGGAGGGGAAATCAATAGACAAGGCTGTGAAGTTACATCGATTGAGTGAGATGGTTAGGACATGTGGTAATCATGCCTATCCATCGTCTACCTCGACAACGGGCAATGCTAGTTGACTGATATAATAGGGTTGATCAGGTTTGA